TGTTATTTTTGTAAACAGCCATATTTATTTGCCTTAGTAAAATATAAATATAATCTTATCCCTCCCCGAATTCTGTGAAAAAAAGAAACAAGAACAAAAAAATACGAATTTTGTAAAAAAAAAAGAAAAAAACCAAATAAAAACAGAACAGGTCCAAAAATTAAGTTGGCTTAGTGTTCATTGGAGGTATCGTCTTGATGTTAAGGTCCTTAGACAGAAATAATGAACTAAATAGTGACAGCCTCTCCATCGCCTATTATATCCATTACGCTAGAGGGATTAATTGACATGCCCGGATGCCTTGGATATGTCGCATAGAACAGTTAATAAACTGGTCTATACTGCGTTTTATTTCTTTTACTCCTCGTCTCTGGACATTGAAGAAACTAACACTAAATAGATACCTATAACAAAGGCAGGCGAGTAATTGCGATAGGTAAGTGATTTGTTTGTAAAATTGTAGATTCTTCTATGAGAAACAACATTTAGTTTCTGAATATAAAAATGAACGTCGACTGGCATCGAACCTGCTACCGCAAGGTCGAGTGTTTATGACTGAACACACCATCTCGTCTGTCTTTAGTCAAAATGTCAACTTGACACAAGATATAACCTACAAAAATAAAAACTGTAATATCTTTTATTTGTGGGTCTCTCCGACGGTAATTCTTACACAAAATGGTTCAGGAATTGAAGCTGAATGACGCAATATATTTTTAACTTCTAGACGCAGCATGTTTACTTCAACTAAAATTATGTATGGGAGTTCGCCATTGTTCTTTATGGAGGAAGAACTTTTAAGTAACTATGCTGAAAATGATCTAATGCTAGCTGATGTGTCAAGCAAAAGTTGTCCATTATAAGACAGCAATTCAAACATAAATGGTTAGCTGCTCGCAAAACAAAAGCAAGGTTTGAAGAAAACAATACTGAATGGCTTAACGGCACTATCAGCTTACCGAGTGCAGGTACTTTTTATTTGTTTTTTTTTTATGATATAACACTAGTAGTATCACCCAGAGCGCAAACTATGGCCCACCTCATCTCATGCCCTTCGTGCCGTAATACCTGCACGGTTAAGGATTTAATGGCGGCTACTAGTGACGCCGTCAGCGTGGCTAAGTTCAGGGCCGAAATAATTTATTGTATGCCATCGATACGATAAAATACGAGAAGAAAACCCAGAGCTTTAAGTCGCAAAGATCTGAGGGACTCTGCCACTGCGCCCATCACCCTGAGATATAAAGTTGACAATCCCCATATATGCCTGTAATTTCACCAGCACCCTTATCCTTCAAAACCGCAGCAATGTTGCAATAGACTGCTTGACGGCAGAAATAGGCAAGGTGGCAGTACTTCCGCGAAGTATTACACAAGGAGCTCTAATGCTACGTAAAACACACTTGTCACCACAGACATAAATCTAAAATTGTCAAACCCCTAACTAGAATTACGTTAAATATTTTGTGATTTTGTTTGTAGTGTATTAAATATAAAGTATTTATTACTTTTGTGTTACAGGACACAGTCCTGGTCGCCCTCCGAAGTCTTTCATAGAGTCAAGTGAAAGAAGCAAAAGACGAAAAACTCAAGAGCTTCGATCAAAAGACGTGGACGAGTTAACGTATGCTGCACAAATGAAATTGAGGGAGTCGGGCAAGGTCGATGCTTCGAAAATAGTAAAAGATTTAACGAAAAGTCCTCGAAGAGGGGCAAAGTACGTTAAAGCTTTTAAAAAAAGTAAAGAAGAGCAAGAGAAATCTCGCCAGTTGTCGCCATTACGGGCCTTGTCTATGTTTACAGAAGCAGGACTTACTAAAGCTCAATATGAAATAATACGAGAAACGAATAAAAAATTTTTTCCGTGCTATTCCGTTCTACAAAAATTAAAAAAAGACTGTTATCCCGAAATTCATACACTAACCGACACAAGTGCTGAAATACAAGTGCAAAAGCTAATGGATCACATGGCAAAACGACTGATTTTGCATCTTAAAGAAGATGGAGACTGTTTAAATGAAAACGAAAGACAATCTTTAATTTTAATCAGTAAATGGGGTTGCGACGGATCACAGCAAATGCAATATAAAATGAAATTTATGAATGAAGCCAACTCTGATGCAAATGTTTTTCAAAGTTCTGTAGTTCCTGTTCAATTAGTGTACGGACCCGAAAACAGAATATTGTGGCAAAATCCAAAACCATCATCACCTCGCTATTGTCGACCCATGAGAATACGATTTCATACGAATACGAATCAAAGAGACCAATGACATAACAAATGAAGAAATTAACTATATAAAAGGATAGGTCACAGCACTTTCTAGCACGGAAATAGATAATTATATATCAATAAAACATAAAATGTTGTTCACCATGGTAGTCGGGAAAGTGTGCAATGCCGCTACGCATACCAGATCTACAATGAGGTGCTATTTATATGATGCCACTTCATCAGAGTTTAACGACTTAACCAAGAAGAGGGCGTGTAAAAAAGAAAATTTGAGCTTTGGTCTCTCCTTACTACAAGCTCGCATAAGATTTTTCGAGAATATTTTACATCTTGCGTACAAACTGCCTGTTAAAAAATGGAATGTCCGTCTTACTGCTGAGGAGAAAGAAGTGGTGAAATTTAAGAAAAAAGAAATCCCAAGATAATTTCAAACAACAGCTCGGGATTTTGGTGACATTTCCAAAACCAATTTTGGAAATACGAATGATGGAAACACTAGCAGGCGATTCTTTGAAGAATATGAAATATCCGCGGCTATAACAGGAGTTGATAAAACTTTAATATATAGACTAAAGATAATTTTAGACACATTGTGTAGCGGATATAAAATCAACACGGAAGCTTTTGAAATATATTGTCAAGAAACGGCTGAACTATATGTACGGCTATATGGATTCTACCCTATGTCCCCAACCTTGCACAAGATACTTCGACATGGGGCTGAAGTTATTAAAGAAGTAATTTTGCCAATAGGTCAATTATCCGAAGAAGCTGCGGAAGCCCGAAACAAACACATAAGATCATACATACTAAATTACACAAGAAAATTTTCACGTGTGGCCTGCAACCAGGATGTACTGAACAGGCTTCTTTTAACTTCGGACCCCCTTATTACAGGATTGCGACGCTCCATGAATAAAAAAAAGAAAACATTGTCATCTGATGTTCTAAATTTGTTATCGGAAAGCGATATTACAAATCTTAATATTACGGAAAGTAGAAGTGACGAATAAATGCTTTAATATAAAACGATATCTTTGAATTAGTTTTTAATGTCATTAAAATGTACATCTATAGCTGTTAGACGTACAAAATCATTTTGGCCAGGTTTTAGGATCAAATACCACACTGTGCGTCGGTGTATTATAATTTAGACCATGGCGGGAAATAAAAGAAATTTTGTGAGTCGCGCGCCACCCACGGGGCCTGCGGAACTGGAAAATCATGATTTATGGGTGGCTTTGAGAGTATTAAGGAATGATCTGAAACATTTTAGGTCAGATTTAAAGCAAATATGGAGCTTAGCCAATAACACAGAAGTCCGTTTTTTAATAAAAAATAAAAAATGGTTAGATGCTTCCATAACATTGCATAGCTGGTCATCAATATCTTCGTCAAAATCAGGACGACCAAACAAGGCGTTCCAGGAATTAACTGATCGCAGCAAGAGACGCAAAACAAAAGAACTTCGAGAGCGGGTGTCGAAGAGTTAACATATGCTGCCCGAGTCAGTCAACGAAAATTAGGAAACGTCGAAGCATCGAACATTATAAAAGACGTTACTGCCACTCCCACAATGGCAGAAAAGTTTAAGAAAGCGCTTGTCGGGGCACAACAAATGTCTGTAAAGAAACATTCAGCTTCAGAAGCTTTGTCCCTCTTCATTGAGTGTGATTTTACCAAAATACAATACGAAATAATACGAGTCAAATAAGAGTATCCATCCGTGTTATTCGCTAATCAAAGCAGCGAAAAAGGATTGTTATCCGAGGGAAGAATCAATGCGTGTAACAGAAACTTGTGGAGAAGTTCACCTCCAAGATTTAGGTATTAACCCTAGAAAGCTAACGTTCGTCAAAATTACGAGCATTCATTCAATATCTCCCCCTCTCTCTCTTATTGTTTTACGTACCAACCCGCGGTTTCGCGTTTACTAAAATAAACTTAGTGTTTGCTAGACTGCGTCACGTAGTGGTCGCGTTTACATTGTGCGTACGTTTGTTTTTGAGATTTTGACTGCATGCTCGTAATTTTCACGAATAGTTAGCTTATGTGTAAGTTTTATACCTGTTAGTAATAAGTGGGTAGCTAGTTCAAAAACGTACGAGCGGCTGCGTCCGCTCCAGAAGACCAGTTTGAATATAGCTGTCAATCCACAAGTACGTGCGTTATTTATTTCGGAATTTCATTTATCGGCTACCTAATTTACCCTAAATAACAATACCTAAACTTATATTTTTGTTTTTAAATTTTTTATTTATTATGTGGCTTACTTTCTGTTGATTTTGCTTTGTTTGTTTTTTAATTAGTACATTGCTGGTGAAGAATGGCTGCAAGGTCGATCCTCACAGATGACGACATAGTTCGGGCGTTAGATGATGAAGAGTGTTTCGACACAAATGTTTCGTCTGATAGTGAAAGTGAAGACGGTTTGTTGGTTGAGGATATGCAAAGCGAAATTCACAACGAATCCTCAGACACAGAAGAAGCACAAATACGTTCAGGCTCAGATATTGAAGAGCAACAAGTAAGGCCACCTTCAGAAACTACTCCACTCAGTGAGCCGCGTGAAGATTCTTCATCCGCTGCCAATTATATCATCAACTTGAATCAAGCTAATATTCGAGGCTAGAATGGTCACGTGTGGGCAACTCACAAAGGACAAACTTCTTCGCGAAATTCAGCAATAAATATCATTCGCACAGCTAGAGGACCAGCCCGTTCAGTTAAATACATAACAGATCCTCTCACTTTATTTGGTTCCTTTATGAGTAATGAAATTTGTGAGGAAATTTTGAAGTGGACCAATGCTGAAATAGCTATAAGGAAGCAAAGCTATGAGAACATAACATCAACCCAAAAGGAAACGAACAAAGAGGAACTCAACGCTCTGTTCGGTGTCTTATTGTTGGCAGCTGCGTTGAAGGATAACCATCTTACAAGCGATGAATTGTTCAACACGTCTTTCTGCGGAACCCGATACATCGACTGTATGAGTCGAGAAAGGTTTGATTTTCTCATAAGATGCCTTAGGTTTGATGACAGGACTATAAGAATACAAACCTTGCAGTCTGATCCATTCACACCAATCCGTAAAATATGGGACTTGCTTATAGTTCAATGTCGAGACAATTACATACCAGGAACCAACGTTACCATCGATGAGCAATTGCTGGCATTTCGTGGTCGTTGTAAATTCAAGACGTACATCCCCAAGAAGCCTGCCAAATACGGTCTGAAAATTGAAATGATGTGTGACAGTGGGACCAGATACATGATTGACGCCATGCCTTATCTTGGAAAACGAACACATACTGGAGACGTTCCCCTTGGTGAATATGTTGTTAAAGAATTTACACGATCAATTCGTGGCTCAAACAGAAATGTAACAACAGATAATTGGTTCACATCTGTCCCATTAGCTAAAAATCTGCTACAACAGCCTTACAAGTTGACAATCGTTGGGACTTTGCGGGCTAACAAAACAGAAATACCGGAAGAAATGAAGAATTACCGAGGTAGAGCTATTGGAACTGCCATGTTTTGTTACAACGGGCCACTAACTCTCCTATCATTTAAGCCGAAGCCAAGCAATATATTTGCTGTCGTCTTGTAACGAAGAAGGAACTGTGAACCCAACATCGAAAAAACCGAACATGATCGAATTTTACAATTCCACAAAAGGCGGCGTAGATACATTTGACCAGATGTGTTCAAGTATGTCGTGCAACCGTAAGACCAACCGGTGGCCCATGTGCATATTTTATGACATGCTCAATATATCTAATATATTGAGCATATATTAACTCGTACATCATCTATTGCCATAATGTCTTGGTTTCTGGAGGAAAACCACTATCACGAAGAAGCTATTGTATGAACAACTTGTTAAAGCATGGTTAAAACGTCGACTTGAAATACCGACAATGCCTCGAAAAATAAAAGATAAAATAAGAGATGTGTTGGGTTTGAACCATGAGGAACGCGCTGGAAGTGAAGGTCAAATTTCTACACCGTCTTTTTCTGGAACTCCTCAGACACCTGAGAATTCCTCATCGATGAAAAGAAAATCCTGCAGCTTGTGTTCTTACAAAAAAAGGCGCATGACGAAGAACCACTGCCATAGTTGCAAAGTTCGCATTTGTCGCGAACATACAATTGACTTTTGCCCAACTTGCGCCCAAAAAATCTAAATGATTTTATTATTCATAAACTTTGTGGGTTTTCTTTATACCTATTAGCAACAAAAATAATATTTTTTTGAATAATTATTCCTAATTTAATCAATATAAGTTTATGTGATTTAAAAATCTCAAAAAAACAAAGTGCCATTTAAAATTAGTGAATGTATACTTAAGAGTTACATAAATATTTTTTTGTGATATTTATACTTTTTATTAATATTCCATACATCCTATAAATACAATAAACCTACTTAAAATATACTTAGTTACAAAAAATAAAACGTTTACAAAATGGTCGCAAAAAGTCGAATGGTTAGCTTATCACGGTAGTTTAGGAACGTTAGCTATCTAGGGTTAAACCACACGGGTTCTAGACTATGCAAATATCTAGAAGATGTATTTGAAGTCTGTACTCCAGAAGAATTACAAGATATAGAACTTGTAACGAAGTGGGGTTGAGATGGTAGTCAACAGAGTCAATTCCAGCAAAATTTTGAAAATGATTCAGAAGATGATTCCAATATATTTCAAAGTTCATTAGTTCCTATAAGATTACAATCAAATATCGGAGACCAAAAGAACATTTTATGGCAGAACCCAACACCGCCATCGCCGCGATTCTGTCGGCCAATTTGAATAAAGTTCCTTCATGAAACTGCAGGTATTACAAAAAATGAATATATAAAATAAAATATGTAGAGGACCAAATAAAACAATTGACGAAGACACAAGGATCAAATTCTACTGGAGTGATGTATGTTCGACATACCTTGGTTCCAACCATGGTAGATGCAAAGGTGTACAATGCGGCCACGGGTACTACGTCTGCCATGACATGGTACATATGTGGAAAAACAGCAAAAGAGTTTAACGATTTTAAAACAGCTTTTGAAACAGCTTCTGAAATCACAGGCATCGCCATACGCCTCAACCAGAAGTTTAAAGTAATATTAGAAGCCATTTCCTCTGGCCATGAAATCGATTGTAAATTTTGCCCTAGAGACCGCGGAACTGTATGTGAAATTATATGGTTGGCATCCAATGACACCCACATTACACAAAATCCTCATACATGGTAATACTATTATCAAGCATTCTACCTATCGGACAACTCTCTGAGGAGGCTGCTGAAGCCAGGAACAAACATTTTCGGTCTTACAGACTCTGTGAACTGTGCAATAAAGATATTTTCAAGACTTTTGCTAAGTTCAGATCCACTTGGCTTGACTTCCTTGAAAGATTACAAGTCAGCTGCTCTAGAAATAATGGAGAAAAAAGAAACTATAGGAAAGTAGCTACAGAATTTCAACTCTGCTACGTCACACGGTCATTCGATCGATCGTTCATTCAGTCGATCATTGTCAACCCGGTGTAGCAGCACGCAGGGACATATATTAACGACATAAACCATTTATTAATAACCATGATACAGACAATCCTCCTCTTGATGCTGATAGCAAGTGTCTGGAGTAGAATTGATGTCAGTTTTGGTATGCTTACTATAACAGATGAAGAAACATGTAATATTGACATAAACGGTGATATGATGATCATAAACACAAATGGAACTGATTATATATATGATAAATTTGTGATTGGGTTGATTAAATGGAAATGTGGAATGAACACTGGGACTATTATATCCGAGTTAGAATGTAAAGATTGTGCACTTTACTGTTCATATAATCAACAATTTGAGAAGTGTAAGAACAATTGGGTAGGCCCAGTCATTTCAGTAATGATATCTCTGATGATAATGATGATGTTGACTATAATTATACTTACAACAGGTAAAGAGAAAATGAATACAATGTTTTTGAGAATAATCTGTTATTTCCTCACAAGAAATGATAGATCGAGAAGAAGAAGAGTTAAGAGACAGAATGATATGACAGGAGTAAAAAATCCTATATTATTCAGAGCATTAGTCACTACATCATCTGAACTTAACCAAATGATTAGGGATTCAAGACTCAAGATAAGAAAGGAAATTACTGGTGATGATCCTATAAATGAACAAGTTTGCCAAAATGAAAAAGATGCAAATAAGTTCAGCAAGGATATAGAAGAAATGGAGTTACCAGAACGGAACAAGTCTAGAAGTAGAACTTCTATACCAAAATTAATCACCATTGGACTTGCAACACAGGCCTTGGTACATCCTGTGTACACATGTGACAAGACATTGTATTTAGCAAGCAATGGTAAAGTAAGTATGTGATGATAATTCATGTACATCATTAAATACATACTCAATGCCTATTCAAACTGGATCAATCATTTGTTTTAATACTATCACAGGTGATAAAATACAAATAAGGATTAAAGATTCTAAATCAATTACTAGGTATCAAGCTGCATATTATGCATGTAATTATCAGCTTAAGACAAAGACAACATGGGAATGTAAAAGTCCTGGGTCAGATTGTTGGAATGGTGGAACATGTAGAATTGGTTATCAGCATCGAAACTTAAAAGAACAAAATGCATATCCAAAAGGATATGGATGTCAGTCAGACACAATAGGTTGTGATACATGGTGTTGGATCAAACATCATGTGTATGGTATGCATGGACAATTTATCCAATTGAAAAAGAGTGTTATCAAGTTTATAAGAAAACTTCAGAAATATGGTCAACTGATGTCATAGTGACATACAAAGGGGTTTAAAAGATAACAAGACTTAACTCTAACAATCCTCAGTATAATCTTAATGGTTTTGATATTGCTGGATTACATGATTTACCAATGGCTATAAATTCTTTCTCATATGAAACCACACACTTGCACAACTCAGTCATAATTACTGATAGTGGTTCATATAATACTGACTCATCAATAATCAATTTCCCTGTGAAAGGTCAAAAACACGGTTCAAATTTGTGCAAAAAAAGAAAGCAGGGGTCGCAGTAGAAGTAGCTGAACCCTCAGGCATGTAAAAAGATAAGTACTGTATACCAATTTTAAGTATAAATGAATCTGAGGTGAGAGAAAAAATGCCTAGGGAAACGGTTGCTGGACTATGAGTGCTAGAATGTTTTCTAATCGAAAACGTAAGACCTCTGCCGAAATCTCGGCCACAAATTCAATTAAATCGTAAACCCACGAGAAAATCTGCAATCAAAATTTACCGACGCACCCAAAAAACAAGCGCTGTAAAAAGAAGAAAAACACAGAAATTTAAATTAAAAAAAAAAATAGAGAAAACTGGAACGACACACAAGGTAAAGGAGTGGGAAAGAGTACAGGAAAAACAACTGAAAAAGGTAAACAAAAGGGAAGATTACGAGTAGAAAAAGGGAAACAATAGAGAAGATTACGAGTAGAAAAAGCAAAGAAAAGGAGGTTGACAAAAGCTGCAATAGTTCAGAAGACGAATATTGTGTTGTCTGGGGTATCTATACAATGAAGATACATCCGGTGGGTGTAGAGTAGACATCTTATGCAAGCAGTAAAATTTGTTAATTATTAGAAGTTATTTCAGGATTTGTTGATATTTGTTCTTGTATAAAAAAGGTTTTGTATAACACTGTTCTTATATAAAAATCGCTACGCTTGCTCGATTAGAGCTATGTACCGCACTTTTAGGGTCGTATTCCAGAATTCTACTCAATACTCAAGTCAGGACTTGAGTATTGCAGTGAGCACCGAAAATCATACTCAAGTCCTTGCCATTAGGGTTGTATTTCCAGTGCTTGAAATCATACTCAAGTCTGCTCAAATCCTAACTTGAGCATTGAGAAGAGTTCTGGAATACGACCCTTAATGTCCAACTTAATTAAAACTGTAAAGGACACATACTTGGCTATATGCGTTATGGAATATATGCGTTCTATATTCGTATAAGTTAATCTGACATCGCAGAACTTCTATCACGTTGCCGGAGTTGACAACCATAGTGATTGTTTATCACGCGGTATGTTGCCATCACAACTAATATCACATAATTTATGGTGAAAGGGACCTTCATGGTTACAAATAAATAAATAATAATGTAATAATAAAATGTTTTATTCGTTCATTTTAAAGGACATAGTACAAGGGCGGATGTTTCCATTTAGGCTTTTTAGGGCCTGTGTTAGGAAACATCGCTCTTTTCTAATATTAATCGTAATCTTGCTCTTATATAATTTTAAGATGATGAAACATAATACCTTAAAATCTACTATAACTGGTGTTACAACTAATACAAATTTCACTAATTACAGTAATTTTTAACTTTTCAGACTAAAAAATAGATTAACCTAATTGTTACTGTGTGTGAGTGCAAGTATGTGTATACATATGTATCTGTAGGTGTGTAATTGTGTGGAATGTGTACATGTGTGTCATCCATCCGATAAACATACAATATCCAAAATTATACATTGTCATAACCATGTTAGATAGTATCATTTCAATTGCTTGTCTCATATAGAAGAAGTTACTAAA